GTTTGATATTGCTTTTGTCAACATGAATTCTGTACTAGACACATCACAACTGCCACATTAAAAACGAACGTTATCAAACTGCAATTTCTTGCGGTTTGAATTAACGATGGACAGGATAAAGTTGAAGCTATCGCTTTGTAACAGCGAAAATGTTGGTAGTCAGTAGCCAAAACGAAATGTTTAACTGACCCGCAATCTCTCTGCAAGACTCGATGACAACGACCTATTTAACTTGCAGCATGGTATTTATGCGACATACTAGCGCCCGGTACAAAATGACCTTTCATGAATGGAGCCTGGGCTCACGGATATAACTGCGATCAAAATGAATACCGGCATCATTTATTCCAAAATTCTCGTTCTTTACAGCACCAAACACTTTCGAAATTTTTCAAGCAATTCGATCAGCGGATTTGGATTGTCAGTCCACGCTTCAAGCAGCTTATCCTTTACAACAGTGGCTGATAGACTGAGATTCAACTTGTTGTTGTTAATGCCTTTGAGGTCGAGCTTGCGAGGTTTTCTATCTCATGTGTCGCCGCCACTTTGGCCTCGTTAGAGATTGACCAGATGTAATTGGTTAAAGTCTCCAATTTGTAAATCACGAGATATTCTTCGTCATCATTGTGGAATTTTAACACGTCGAAAACTGTCTTTACAGAATACCCTTCCGCTTTCCACAAGTCGAGTCGTTCACGGTGCAGTGTCGACGCAAATGAGTTAGAGTAAACTAAACTCGCAGTTGCTATAGACTCAGTCACTTTCTCTTCTCCGTAAGTCTGTATAAACTTTTTTATAGTCGCGGTTGGAGAAGATTTAACTGCATGCTTATGAAACATCGCCAGTCTACCGCTGAGAATTTCTAAATAAGCAATGTCGCCAAAACGCAGTCTGTCCCACACTGCATCCAATGGTAATTTATCCCATATTTCAAACAAATGCTCTCTCAGGGAGCTCAATTCTGGGTTCTGCTCTATTCCCCAAAGTAATATACCGTCTCCACCAAAATGTTTCGTCAGAAATTCAATAAATTTGCCCCATACAAAATCGTCGACCAAGCTCTTATCTGTAAGTTCATGAGAGGCGCGCGACATCCAGAATTGAAAGAAATAGTCATACTTTCCGTTACGTACGACTGTGGCAAGACTGTCGTCAAATTCCAGAAGATCGAAAACTTGTTTGAGAGAAAACTCTTCTTTCACCAAAGTGTCCAATTGTTCATTTATCAACATCCTTATTATTTCTTGATCATGATCTTCCGCCATCGACAAGTGATATAGCTTTTTGAGCGAGAAACTGTCTTTGTATATCTTTGATAGTGGCTCGATCAACGAGAGTTTATCTTTGTTCTTCGTATCGCTATTATACTCCACGCAAAATTTGTAGAATGCTTCCATCTCGGAAGTCTTCAAGGCATTTTCAAGAAGTTGATGTCTTCCTAACTCTTCCACGTGTGCGTTGTAATGGTCGAGGGCAGATTTTTCCAAAACAGGCACTGTGTTACGAGAATTTCCAGCAGAGACTTAGAAATGTTGTCGATGGAACCAATACCTCGCGCTTCGATATCCTTGCTATCATCAGTTTCGTGAATACTCGATACACTCTGGACTAAGTCACTTGAATTAGCAATGAGAAAACCAGAGTCGACAGGTACGCCAGCCTTTGTCTGATAAGAGAGTACATAAAGAGCGGAATTCTGGGTGCTAGCCAAGCATACATAGAGGAGAATTGGCCGGGCGTTAAACATCTGAACAACTGATGAGTTTGAACCAACAAACAAGTCAGGCACGAAGAAATTAATAGTCTATCTTATCGCAATCGTTTGTACTAGTACTCACCTTAAGGTCTTTGCTAGACAGTGGCTTTGCATGCTCAGCTTATGTACAAACTCTCTAAATTAAATACTGATTCCCAGCCCAGTAAGTTTAATTTAGACAGGTTCTACTGAATTATCTAGAACTAATGATCAAACTTTGCAAATCCCTAGAATTAAATGATTAAACTGTGGCTTTGCGTGGTTTAACTTATGTAAAATCTCTAAATTAAATACTAGTTCCCAGTCCAAAAAGCAAGTTTAATTTAGACAGGTTCTACTGAATTATCTAGAACTAATGATTAAACTGTGGCTTTGCATGCTCAATTTATGTAAAAACTCTCCAAATTAAATTCGGATTCCCAGTCCAGCAAGTTAAATGGTTCTACTGAATTATCATATAACATACAACAGTGCTAATTATTTCTCCTATTTCATTTTCGACAAATTATAAGATAATCAAGATACTACAAGTTTTTAGTGCTAATCTTTTCAGACAAACTCAACAAAATTGAGGATAATTAAGGTAGAAAAAGTTGTGCACCCCACAGCAAAGAGTATTACTGACTTGTACGTTGACCAATCGTTCAGATGCTTATCGTCCGCCCAATCCTCCTCTTTGGAGGCTGGAATAACCAACGACTCTGGTGTTCTCATTGCTAATTTAAGTGACTCAGTCCAGAGTCTATCAAGTATTCACGAGACGGATAGCAAGGATGTGGAAGCGCGGGGTAATAATTTCTTTGAGAAGATGTCTCTTAAAATGAAGACTCTGCTAAAAGATGATGCTCTTAATACTTACAGAAAACACGTGGAGAAGGTATTGGAACATTCAGATTTATAAAAGGCTTTGAAGAGTCACGAGATGAAAGCTTTTTACAATTTTTGCGAGAAGTATAATGAGCATCACAAAACGAAACTCTCACTGATCAAGCCATTTTCAGAAACGTTTGACGACAAATATTTGCTTAACACGCTTTATGACTTGTCACTGGAGGAAGACCATGATTAATCTATGATACGCAAATTGATAAAAGATCAATGGGCCAAATTGTTGATAATGAAGATATCTCACCATGACGTTTTCGATCTGCTGGAATTTGACGATGATCTTGCTGTAGCCATGCAGAACAATAAGTTTGATGATGTGATAAACTTCATGATGTCGCGCACCTCTTCCATACACAAGAAGAAGAGCTTGGTCCAAGACCTTGTTTGGGATGATTTTTTAGAATTTTTGAGGCGACATTTTCGTGGAGACGCCGCATTAGTTCAGCAAATAAAGAGTAGTGAATCACGCGTAGAACTTAGCGACAATCTCGCATCCCTGAAAAATCATCTATTTCAAAGTGGCGTAAATTATCATTGGATTCAGTGTGGAACGGTCTGCAATTTGGCAATGTGTATACCATATTTTCAAACGGAAAGTTGGAGATGTTTTATGAGTATACTCTTAGTTTCTCTCCTCACGCGGCGATTAAAAAGGCTATACAGACTTATGAAGAAAATGGAGTGACACTGGCGCAACAAGCTGCCAGTGTCACTCCGAGCACAAAAAATTTTGCCTCGAAAATGTACCATGAACGACTCGAATTCTGGAAAGCGGAAGGGTATTCTGTAACGAAAGTTTTCGACGAGTTAGAATTACGCAATGAAGACAGAAAATTCCTCGTGATTTACAAATTGAAGACTTTGAGCGATTACATCTGGTCAAGCTCTAACAAGGCCAAAGTGGTGACAGATGAGATAAAAGATCTCGCACGCTTGACCTCAATAGCATTAACAGAAAACCTAAAGATAAAGCCTAGACTTTCAGCCACATATGTACGGGATAAGCTGATTGAAACATGGACTCACGATCCAATTTCGCCGGAAGACCTGTTCAGCAAACTAACTAGCGAGAAGGCTATTGCTGGCAAGGACCACGAGTCAAAATTGGATGAAGCCAATACGAAATTTGACCGTGAGTACCACATTACTTTTAGTAATCCCAGGCGCTCATAGATGAATAATCATATTGTTGATGACACTGGTCTATGTGGACGTCTTTTACGCACTCAATTTGAATGACCAGAAAGAATTATTAAACTCTTGAGCTTGTCATTAATTTGGCCTTATCTACGACTATGCACTAAATGTGTCACCAACTATTCCGCACGCTGGTCCAAGACCTTTAATACATAAGCATGGGCGGTCATTGTGGTGGTAGTACTTCATACCGATACACTTCGAGTGCGACAGAGTCGAACTTTTAGTCAGAGCGAGGAAAGCTCCACCGAAAGCAGCAAAAGGAAAACGTACTGCACTTTGAGCCTTAATATACAAGTATGAATGTAATAAAAAGAAACGATTGATGACAGCGAAGAAGTGCACGGTGGCAAATTTCGACGAAGAAAGAATAAATTGTTCTCTATGAAACAACTCAAGAGCATCTTCGCGTATCTTGACAAGCTCTGAGTTGTCACCTTCGGTAAGTCTGGAAATACTGGCAAGCCTTAGCGAAAGTTCCTTGACGCGTATGCTTCAGGTCAAAAATAGCTTTGCACAAAATGACCTTTTGCTATTACAAGAATGAAATTGTCGTATTTATGGTTGAGAACTCTTCTATCATAATAATCATCGGAGCATGAAGCGAAAAGAGTTGTTGTCTGTCTGTGAAAACCTTATCAAGTCGTTTGACCCCGCTCTAACCACAGTTGATGATCATGCCACCGAAAAGCTTCAAAATTTGTCCTCACCAAGCGATCATGAGTTTCTTCAGCAGGTTCTCTACGGCTCATATCGTTATCGAGAAATCCTTCGCCCGATGTTAGCGATCTTTCTTGACACCCATTCGAGTCAAGTGAGTCGAGCGGACTACACGAAATTCCTTATTATAGGATATTTAGCTCTGTTTCGTCTAGAGGAGCTTGGTGCCACTGCATTCGCAAAGTTGGTACTAGCACTTCAACCAGCAAGTATGCACACATTCCTTTCGTATTTATTTGATCCTAATGAGCTTCGTGGTACGTTGCAAACTCAATGGACTCGTGTTCTTGATGCTGACTTTATTGAGACACATATCATCGACAAGATGCTGAGTTTCCGACCAACGATTGACAAGTTATTAAGTCAACTTCACGCCAAAGCATTTGGCGGAGCTTCTTCTACTGGGAGTAGCAAGTCAAGCGCCAGTTCTTTTATCTGTAAATCTTCAAGAAAGCAACTGACGGTGCCGGTGGCACCCAACATTACTCAGCCAAAGCCTCGAAAAGGACCGGAACCAATTCAAATTTCTCAGGAGGTCAAGGCAAATCCAATGCCTGCGTTTCTCAACAGTCTTTCACTGGCAGAGCTACAAGCTCAACAAGAGGCTCGAAAGATGCGAATTAAAGCTGATGTCGCGAGCAAGTACAATTCATTCGACGAATTTCAGCTTGCGACTGCTACTCGAGGTAGTAATCTTGAAGCAGTGCGGGCGGAAGTCGAACGCGAACGTGAAGCAGCTTTGCGGTTCGATTTCAAAGCCAAACCTGTTCCACATGCAAATACATCAAGCAATCCTATCGAAGTGAAGCTTACAGCGGCTGCTATCCTACGCGAAGATGCCGTACATCAACGCAAGAAAGAGCGTGAAGTTGCTTTGATTCGGGCGTACGAGTCGGAACTACGTGATCCGCTCGAATTTTATCGCTGGCAAGCAAACATGCAGCAGCAGGACGAATCAAATTGGCGTCAGGAAGTGGAGACGCGGCGTTTAGAGATGGTTCAGGCCCAATATGATGCGATCGAAGCTGCGCGCCAAGCTAAAGCCGACAATCGTGAAGTAGCACGAAGCATGAAACAAGATGCAAAACAACGAGCTGCCGAGCGGGACAAGGAGGAGCTTGAGCTGATTGAAAAGTATCAACATTTGACAGAAGAAGCGAAAAGAATACGGGAGACCGCCCCTCGAGAAGCCGAGGCTCAAGTTCGGGGCGAAAATGCACGACAACGCGATGCACTGCAGGAATTTCTAACAGGTGAACGCGAACGCAAAGCAGAAGAAGATGCCAAAGAGCGAGCTGCCCGTGAAGACTTAATTCGACAAATTCGAGCTCTTGATCGTGTACATCGCGAGCATGTAGCAATGTTTGACCCTACTGTGACCGCTCAGTTGGGACTTCTGCAAGAAATGTCCTTGGTAGAACTTCGGGAACGTCTTCGATTACGTCGTGATGAGCAAAAACGGTGGGAAGACACTCGACGTGAAGCAATCCTTGCGGACAAACAGGAAAAAGAGGCTGATTTGCTTGAAAAGGCCACCAACGCTGCGCGTCGACGTCGAGCTACTGCAAGTGCGAATGCTGCAGCCCGTAGCAAAAAAAAAGCACAAGCTGTAGCACGGGAGATGGAAGAACAAGCTCTTCGTCGAAAAAACACTCTTGAGCTTGCAGAGAAATTGAAGCGTCAGCGTGAAGAGCGTGCTCTGCAGACGGAAAAACTTCGTTTGGAATGTGAGGAATTAGCTGCACGTCAACGATTTCTTGGTGCAGCAAAATATATGCTCGAAGAAAAGCATTTTTATCAGCTGGAGTGTGGATTCGAACGGCAGGCAAAAAAGCGGCAAGAAAAACATCAGATGGAGTTTGCTACTGTGGAGATAGTCCGCGATAAAGAGTACAGTATGAGAAAAGAGTTTCGAGAGCGCTTGAGACGTGCTAGACGAGACGAAGACAAGGCAAGGACGAGCGTATACTTACGAGATAAGGAGGATGCACGACGGCGCGACCAACACGAAGATGAAACTCTGCGAGCTCTTGTATGTCATGAACACCAACGCGTTGCACAGGCTCGTGGCACTTTGCAAAAACGCAATATATACGCAACAAGTCATTCTACACGCTTTTCAAAGGCCAAAATTCAGCCTGAAGTTCCAGAAAAAAAAGTTAGCAGGAACCAAGAGCTAGAACGACAACAATTAACGACGTAGAGTCGAGCATAAGCTCCGGTTTTATTGACAACATGACTTTTCGATCTCATCTTAGACTCGATTGACATTGTGTTTTTAAACATTTGTAAGCCATGAAATAGATCAACAATGCTGCATCTCCACTACAGAAACCCTAAAGAACAGGAACAACCATTAATTTTTGGGTCACACGACCTCCACTTCGACCATGTAGCGGATACGGGCTTGAGCTTCCTTATACACAATCAGCTCAGCGTATTCGGATAGAGACGGTTCAACCAATGTGAAGCCTACCGCAAGAGGAGACTGTGCCATAATGTTACGATAGAGCTTGGCTAAATAGCTGTAGACCGTGCTACTATCGTCCGGTCGAAATGTCACTTTTAACGAGGCGTTGCACCGTGCGCCGCTGCCAATCTGCGGTATCATGTCAGCTTCGTCCTCATCTTTTGCAATGTCATGCATCTCACGATCCAATAGCTCGATGACGATTGTACGCTGATCGTAGGCATACTGCAAAAATTTATTTCGATCCTTGTCTGTGGGACTTAATGTACGTGTATTACCTACAGCAAAACTCTCGTCCTCCACAAGTTTGCGTAGATATTCTTGAGTCTCAGCTGTAAATTTAGGGGTACGGTCAAACCACAAAACTGGCGTTGGATTCGGCTCAGTTTTGGCCCAAGCTCGATCAAACGGCAAGTCTCTTCCCACTTGCATCACTCGTCCAAGATGTAACATAGCTCCACACTTTGGCGACACAACAGCACCTCTCGAATCTGGATTGTGCAACGCCAGTGCTTTAACACTGTCCATATTATCACGCGGCAAGAAATCCTGACCTAAAGCATCGCTTGTCATCAACTCAGTAGGATCACCTAATGACACCTCGCACAGCAGCATATAGTGTACTGCGCGCGTCTTCCGATTGGTCTTGCCATCCTTCTCAATTATTGGAAGTGCATACGGTTCATCGCAATAGTTGAAGCTTTTTTTTGCCACATTTGAAAAGTATAACCCCTTGCCGTATAAGTAACCATGGTGTGGAGCTTCAGGAGGAGCGATCCTTAATCCTTGCGACAAAATTCCCATCAGATTGGTGCGTTTTGTTCCGTGCCACAGCAAGTGGGTCTGCAAAGGTCGTAAATCTGGGCGTTTTTCCATCATATCGTTAAATCGCTGGGTCTCACCGCGTCGTTCTACCTCGAATACGTTACTGATACGATACATTCGACGATCAGAAGGGCGGAAGCCGCCGAAGAAGTAACGATGGATGAGTTGTCGTTCAGGGTCTTCAGGCAGCAGAGGCGCAATACGCACCTGCAATGCATGGTAACAATACTCTAATGGATGTTGCTTTCCCAGTGCATTCTTGGCTCCGAGTAGCATCTTATACGTCTCAATGATGTCAGACAACATCCGTATCCGCGTGATCTCCACGTTTACATCACTTACCTGGTCAAAAGCCTTGATCGAAGAAGCTAGGGAATCCTCTTGACATGGCATGATTTCGTAATACCGACTACTGCGATCACTCAATTTTTCAGTAAGAACTTCATGGCGAGTAGCAAGGAGAGCTCGCGTATTGGCCCCATCATCACTTATATCGCCACTTGCAAAGCCAATTTCCTTGTTTAGGCTTTCCATTTCTTCCAGCAAACTTTTAATTTCAATGAGCTGTTCCAACGCAGCACAAAGCTCATCTTGCTCGGCAATAGGCAAGTCACCACCAGCAAAGCCACAGCTTGTTTGTGCCGCCAACTGCAAATTGCGCACGTCTGTAATAGCGGCTAACATCGCCATGAGACTCGGTGAAGCTATCAAATCTGGATCACAAAGCTCGCGAAACATGACACCTTTGGTTGGAACAGATTCCATGTCCTCTCGAATCGAACGAGTCACCTCGATATCGACCTTTGTCATGTAGTTGACACGTTTGACAAGATTGTATTTCTTGGGCTTCTTAATGAAGTCGCCTAAAGCACGCGAATCCCACGTGTTGCCCGTCTTGCTACGGAATATCCGCTTGAACTCGTTTGCAGCCTCTGCTTCATCTCTAAACGGCGTGTTTTGAAATTTTCCTGTCTCACCTATTCTCCCCCAATTCGTAAACAGTACATATATGTCTTGTAATTCATCATGAACCAGTTGTAGACGATAGAAAACGTTGAGGCCAAAGCTTCCGTTCTTCACGTCAACTTTTGTCAATAACGCGTTCAGCTCGGTACCATCACCCTCGACATAAACTTTGCTTTTTCTTCCGACATCGCAACTTAAATTTACCTTGGAATCAACCAGCGAACGCGAGATCTTGCCATTTGCCTCACACTCCGCTAAATACGCGCTAGCATCTTTTGAAAATGCTGGTATAGCCGCGAACTTGGTAGAGGACTCTCTAGTTTCGGCTTGACCAGGTACAAGATCCGGGAATTTCCGCTTTATGGATCGGAGAACAAAACGCGAGTACTGACATTCAGCGTAATCGATAACGGACTTTCCAAAATGGTCTTTCGCTCGCAGGTCACCACCTGCCTGAACCAGCATGAACAACAAGCGCGTATTTTCGTAAGAACCATAGTCGAGTGGCTGGACAGCAATGTGGCACGGACTTAATCCGGCGGAATTGCGTTGTGCAAGCGCTGCCTTTATGTTTGCTTTTGACACGTGAACAGGGCACACATCAGTCGATGAGGGATGATCAAACACAACTTTGAAATCTGGCACTGATCGGATAAGCCCAAGCGCTAGCCGCGTTTCCACAACTAGATTTCGCGCGGCAAGATGCATCAAGAGCGTATTGCCTCTGCCGTCAGCGATCGACAACTTGGCACCATACCGAAGTAAAAGTGCAAGTGTATGGAATCGTGTGAATGCATTAGGAGTTATCGCAACGCGTACAAGTGGTGGCATCTTGTCGGGATTTCCTGCAGCTAAAGAAGTCACCTCACAAAGCTCACGGCCAGACCGTAGTATGTCCTTATTGTAAGCTTTATCTCCACTTGAGCTCTTTCTTCGCTCTAGTGCTGCTGCAGATGCACAATGAAAACTTCGGTTTGGGTCGACTCCGCGCTTCAATAGTGTCTCTAGTATCGTGAAGAACACGACAGGCTTTAACTCGGCAAGACTCTCCAAAAAACGATCCAGCACGGCGTTCAAAACATTCCTTCCCGAGTTGTCTGCTTCCTGAATTTCCAAAGATATTAAAGGGTGCTCCAGAAAATAGCACAGCACTTTGAGCAGCTGATCATCGTCGATGTTATTATGTTTGCTGTTTTGTTTAAGAGCAGAAAGAATTGGAGTCTCGCCCAAATGGTTTTTTGCATTTTCGCTTTCGCTGCCGCCACTTTGGTGATGCAAAAAATCCATCAAATGAATATTTCCTCGCTTCGAAGCGTAGTGCAGTGCAATGTTGCCGTTATTGTCTTGCTTGTCCACACACACACCAGCATCTACAAGCGCCCAAGCAAGCTTCTTAGCAAGAGCGTTAAACCCAGTCTGCCGTGTCTTTGCCAAAGAATGCAGCAATGTTTCGCCACGAGCGTTCGGATGCTTCAAAATCGTTTTGCCGTCAATCGTGTCGGAATTCAGGACGTCTACAAGGTTGTTAGCAAGTTGAAATTGTCCGCATCGCACAGCATCCTCGATGGCCTGACGTCGACAAAACCCAGCGCTTAATAGCATATGGCAGATACCAGTCAGTCCATTGCTGACAGCGTGGTGGAAATAGCTTCTTGTTTTGGTTTTACATTCCTGCGTGGATGCTGAGACACTTCTTGATATCAACTTCCTTGCCGTGGCTTTTGCAGCGGACGGAATGTCAACAATCCGAAGAACTCCATTGGCCGCACAGCCACTTTTTAGTAGCGTCATGATGGTTGTTTGCCGTTTGTATAAGACAGCGAAACCAAGCGGCGTATACCCGCGTCTATCCTGCAGCGCCATAACTTTTTGCTGCTCCGCTGAGTCACCAATGGATGCAAGAAGTGTTGAAACACATACAAACGCACCCGTGGCTGCTGCAAGATGCAAGGGGGAGCGCCCGAGCGCGTCTTGAGCCATAATCCCCTGCTCTGTTGCCAAGTATGAGACTGTTTCTACCGGATCCGTCTCAACTTCTGGAATAACGCTAAGTTGATCGCGCAGGAACTTCTCACGCCTCATTGTCTTGTACACATTAGCATCAAAAACTCGTCCCTTACTCTTCTTTTGGTCTCCTATCTCTTTGTGACTCTTGTCGTACCTAATTTGCCAATCAAGCTCAACTTTTAGTAGCGCGAAATGCAAAGCGCTAAAACCAAAGTCATCTTGCATGGTAGCATCGGCGCCACATTGAAGAAGGAAGCGCTCGACCGAAAATGATGCGTCAGCACTCATAGTAGCAGCATTCACAGCATAGTGCAACGGGGTTCGTCCAAGCCAATCACGCTGATTTACTGCATCACTTGCGCCTCCTTTCCCTAAGACATCTAGTAATTCCTGCAAGAGGTTAATGTCACGATTTCCTGCTGCGTAATGAACGAGTGACCTATTTTTTGCATCGCCGGCATTAATAGCTCGCGGGGCACTTGGATCCTTCAATGCAACAAGAATAGCTGACTCTGCGGTATATACTGCCTGTCGCTTATTTAATTCAGATGTCATGGCGACAAGAACCGGAGGAAACGATTGAGTGATCTCCACGATCGAATACGCAACTTTTTCATCGCGGGCCTCCGTTGTGGGGATCAAATGCCTCGCAGCGACTGCAAGATGCAAGGGAGTAGCGCCGAGCGCATCACGAGCAAGAAGGCTTGATCCATGCAAAAGTAGAGCACTCACAGCTGCGCTATCATTCGCTTGAAGAGCCACGTGTAATGGAGTTTTTTTTGATGATTTAGATACGCAGTTCACGTCTGCACCGTGCTCCAACAATAAATTTGTACACAAAGTGCTCTTTCTGGTCAAAGATTCAAGTAGCACTGGCTCCAAAATTGTCTTGAGGCCACAATCGCCCAAGCATGGTGAAAAATTTCCACGCCTTGGAGCTACTTCGTTTTCAGCTCGTGCAATAGCTTCAGCGATTGTAAAATCTATGCAATTTGTGCATCTCACTGGGGATAAATTGGGATTTGCTTGATGCGTCAGCAATAGATGCACAGTAGGCACGTCGCCAGATTCCACTGCATAATGCAACGCCGTTTTAAAGCTTCCAAAATGAATAACATTAACTAACGATTTTTTTTCGTCGTCTGGATCCACTGAAAATAATTCGGGGCGTTTGTTTAACAGAACATGCATGAGGCATGTAGCCGAGTCGTCGATACAACCGTAAAATTTCATCCACGGCTTTGTTGGTTCGCTTATTAGTTGCCGCCTAGCAATTAAGTGCAGCGCCGTTTCAGTCTCCACCAAAATTTTCGCTTTATCTCGAGTATTTACATCCGGTGGTGGCCGATAAGTTATAGCTGGGATCGCGTCTCTATTACAATCTAAATCATCTACTTCCGAATCAGAAGTAGAGCTTACATGAGAGGCAATTGATTTGGTGTGACCCAATGACCCACCGCCACCAGATCCACCAATTTCAATAGCACTATCACTACCAATCGCATTGATTATATTCGTTAATTGTGACGCCTCCTCACAGCGTATAAATGCATCTCGACTTAATGACTGCTCCGCAAAAAGAGCAACAAGCTCCGTGAGTCGTCTGTCAATGTCTTGCATTTGCTTCAGTCCATCTGCATTCCCGTGGTGAGCTGCTAAGGGCACGCTGCGCTCATGCCTTAGATCAAGAAGCTTCATCATAGGGCTGTAGCCTTTCACGTCTTTACCGCACATTAATTCAGACGTCGTTGGGCACTTTTCGGCAACCGAACGAATAAGATCCGGCATTGCTGTTAGTTTTGCAGCTTTGTGGTTTGCCACTAAGTGAAAAAAATTCTCATGCGTTGCTTTGGATCTACCTGTCAAGTTTAAAGATCCACGTTTTGTTTTGTCGTGACGTTCAAGCAATTTTGCCAGATACACGTCTCCATCGGCACCCAGCGCTACACATGTCATCCAAGCATCTTGTCCGTCCGAAGATCGAGCTTCAACGTATATAGTCTCCTGGTCGAGCAGAAGCTCAACAATTTCCATTTGATTGCCATCAATCGCCATCTGAAGTGGCTGCAACAGCATAAGAGTATTTTCGTCATTCACCACATCTTGTTGATACAATTCGTACTGTACTTGAGCCCCGTGTAAAAGTAGAAGACGAACCGCTTCCACAAAATACGTTACAATTTCTTGTTTGCTGACCATGCTGCTGTCTTCTACGGTCCTTGTAGCCTCATAACAAGATCGCTTGATTAATTGCTGTAGAGGATACTCACCTTTCGAGTCACTGATGTTAGGATCAAACCCTTTATCTAGCAAGTAGCTGAGCTGGTCGAGATTATGCGAATGCGAGCACTGCAGAAATAGCATCGTACGCCCTTGGCGGTCTCTGAAGTTTAAAAAATTATCTTGAAATGTTCCGTGAGTAGAAGTCAGCAGGAGCTCAGCACACGTCTGATGCTGTTTAAGCAATGCACATGCAAGTGGAACGAAGCCCCACGCGTTCTGCGACCATAATTCCGCACCGACGTCGCACAGAAGCTGAAGACAAGAAGGCCATCCATAGCTAGCCGCGTAATGAGCCACACTGTTCTCAGATGAATCAGATAAATTCACATCGGCACCACCATTAATCAGCGCGGCCGCCACTCGTGTGTGACCGTTCTTCACTGCCAACATCAATGGCGTCTTCTTGAATTTATCTCCCAAATTCACGTGTGCACCGTTGGCCAACAAGACACGTACGCACTGCAAATGACCATTTTGAGCAGCCAAAGTCAACGGTGTCGACTTGCTCGTGCCTCCACTTGCGAAATTTACGTCCGCAGCATGTTTACATTGCGCGACTAAATATTCTAATGTTTTTATGCAGCCGTGTAGTGCAGCAAGATGGATTGCTTGCTTGCCTTTAGGTCCTTTATCACGTACAAGTTTATCAGCAACTTCTTGGCCACCACCACTTTCGTTTGACATTGCGGCAAAATGCAGCATAGCAAGTGCCGTCTCATCCCGTCCGGCTTCAAGCGCACACATCAGCGGTGTCAAGCGAGTCTTTGTACGTCCAAACAACCCGCATCGTTTTTCCAAAAGAAATTGCAATGGGTCAGCTGACTCGCATGCGGCTGCATAATGAATAGGCTCGTATCCTTGGTCATCCTTGATAGCAACAAACTCGTCTCCTAGAACAGCATACAATTCTTCCAGAAATTTTGTACAGGGGTTAATTGCAGCAAGATGGAGGGGTCGTAGCCGCGTTTGCTGGGCCTGTTTGATAGCCGACGCAGCCCGAAATGGTGGCAAAGAAGGCGTGTTTTTTTCCATTCCGACTGGAAAATCCGCCAGCACCTTGTAGTGCAGCTCATTAAATCCCCACCCGCCACTCTTCTCCAATATCTCAACCATTTTTCGAACAAGTCGATAATTTCCACAACGTGCCAAGTGACATACATTCATCCCCACCGCGTAGCCCTTAGCCCATTCTCCAGTTGGGTAGAGAAGCGTGAGCATCTCGACACTAGCGTGTGGACTACGCCAGATGTAATCACGTGATTCCTTCACTGCATTTTTGTAGCCGTCTTGAAGCAGTGCATTATTACCTTCTCTACCTCCGCGACTAGCGTGTACAGCACGTCGATTGTAGTTACTGAACTGACTCGTATGTTGACCTGTCGAATGCGACGGCAGCGCCACTTCTGGTTTGGCAGCAAGTTCCGTCTTTTGCACGTTGTTTACCGCCTGACGCAGCAAAGTTGCCGAAGCCAGATCGTTATGATCTATAGCAATCTGAAGAGCAGTCTGACGAATATCTGCACTGCGAGGTGCATCGAACGTGCTAAGTTTCTTATAGACATTACTGTCCGTCGTCAGTTGCTTCAGTAGCTTTAAGTTCTTCGTTAGCACTGCCCGTACAACTTCTCGATTCGCGGAAAATACATCGCCATTAAACGACTCAAATTTTTGCAAACCCAACAACTCGCGGTCCTCGTACTTCGCTTCGTCCACTGTCCTACGAAATGGCATGGTTCGGATGGCCATACTTCTTTTAGTAAACCTCTTGGTTTTACCTCGTCCAGAAAGCACATTATCAACAGCCTTTACTCGACGCTTCTTGACTTGTGACATTGGGGGACGTTCAGCGTCGTCGTCTATGTAATCTTTCGGTAAATCTTGTCCCATCAGCTTGGCTTTGGAACACAAAAGACAGTGCTGAACTCGTGCAAGTGATTTAGTCGTGACCTCCACAGACACTGCGCTGAGCTCCCGCACGTATACTTGACATAAAATGCTTTTTACATCCACGTACTCGTCGTATGCGATTTCGTAACATCTTTCCGCGATTTTGTTGAGCCATGTGACGTGAATGCGCACATTTTGCTGATCGAGCATATCCTCCGTCACGTCATCTTGTAATTGGGCGAGCCAAAATTGCTCTATCTGTGATGTTCTGACATCTTCTGTCGCCAACATAGTGTCCATATCTTCATGTATTTTTTCCTCGTCCAACGATGGCTTCTTGGTGCGCGTCGAGCGTCTAGCAGACGTCTTTTTAATCTTTTGTGAGCTCTTTGTTGCGCTGGCAGTAATCGTGTCCTCTACCGGGGCAGCTAGCACCGCTACGTAGCTCTGCGCCGCCATTGCAATCTCCCAGTCCGCTTCCTGCCACTTACGCTTGCTAATCATGATGCAAAATATTGTTTGATCCTTTCATCGCGTGCGGAATCCATGGGTACATTGTCTGGCGACTGTTGAAGTAAAAATAGATTCACTTCTATGGTGATGAAGCATGGAGATTTTTTTATACACTTATGACGAACTTTAGGCTTAAGAAGAGAGATATATATTTGTAAATTTTGAGTGTTTAAATATAGTCACCAAATGAAAGGATGTGCAAGGATAACACATGTCCAGGTAACTCATAACCTCGTTTAACTAATAAAAGTTAGTTCCACCAAGCTTATTTCTATGATTGGTAAAGAGCCAAGAGTTACCCGAGTATATAGCCCTTTGCCCAACTCGCTCCCTTCGGGTCTTTCTGTCACATGGACAGTTAGGTACTGCATTGACTAACATTTTTTATAAACATGTATTTTGTTGACGTAGAAGACAATAAAGTGCCAAGCAATCAAGTTGGACTCATTAGAAACCAGCCACGAACTGGTGGTAGTCTGGACTATCGCCGTCGTTTTGAGAGATTTCTGTAGTTCTCGAATGCGCCTCAGTACCACTCCATCTGTGGGATTCGTCTCCTCCAGCAGTGAAGCAGTAATTGCTAGGCTTAGCTTTTCCAGATTCGTGACTATCTGCTTTTCCACATCGTCCTTTTCTTGATCGTCATTCTCCTCTACTTCCGCTTTCTGAGCCATGGTTATTATCTCATCGTCATTCAGCTCCAGATCGGCTGTGTCGTCCTCCATCACTAGACTCAAAAGCTCTTCAATACCCGTGGGATTATTAAGAGGAAGCCTATGCATAGCGTTGCACAGATCACACCGATTTTTGAGGAGGCTCTGCAAAGAAAACAGTGTGGCAAAAGCAATTGACCATGGTAGCTACTGATATATCCTCTCAAGCTGCTTTGCTCCGCTTTTATGTGGTTAGCTGATCGAGATTATAGATGTTGCTTTCACCTCGATAGTCACAAACAACAGCATTTTGAAGATGATAACGTCTGTAATGTCGCTTGGAGACGGAAATCATCCCAGCATTCATGGTCTGGATCTCAGACGTGCAGTGTGGAGGAAAAGACCTTCTCGGCATTTTTGACCTCGTGATCGTCGACTTTGTGCAGCGGGGCTGCCGTAGCTCTTTGCTCAGAGGAAGCTACGCTAAGGTCACCGACCTTACGTTCTTTCCAAGAATCAGTACGAGTGAAGCCGATCGCAAACCGCTACCACCAAGTACCAAACCCTTAACCAAGGCAAACGAACACTTCTGTTCAACATCAAAATTGTATTTGATTGTTTTAGTTGCGGCAGATCCGCCAATATATCAAGCCTCAGGTTTTTTAAATAATATAGTAATACCTAATCAAAAAAACAAACCCGAATTAATGTAGTAATATGCATTACTATTGTATTGTACACTAACTTGTGTAAAACACACCAATATACGGTCGCGCAATCCTGTGCGACCTGCCCTTTCATACAAGGGTACGTGTGACCCCGTTGCACTTTGTGAAAAGTGGCGTTATCTGGTAATAAAAGGAAAGTGACTGAAAAAGTTGAGAACACATCTAAAGCGTTTACTTATTGTTCATTTATGTCGACGTCAAGCCGTTTCAACCATTACTGGAAGAGGTGCCGGCCATCTTCGCTTTCTTATTGCGGCGATAATAGAATTCCAGTTGCTCTTTGTCTTACAACTGAAACAGCGAGCTTATTGACCTTTCTAATGAACAATGGCTTGAGCTTCTCCGATCCATCTGAGCTGGCAGCAAAGGCAACTGTGATGCGGTTCTATGATGCAGAAAGGATAATGATAGTTTGGTCAGCCTTTCATTTAAAAGTTATATGCAAACAAACGTACTTTGGCTTGTCCACGTCCCTCAATCTGCTGTTTTACAATGGTATTTTCTGGAACCATGGAATGAAATAATCCTACGAAGACATCAATCAAAGAAATCTCATGTAAAAGACGTTGCTAACATTTGTACCAGTTTCATCCATGTTGAACACATCCTTCAGCTCATACCGAGCAATGACTGCTAAGAGCGCAGGAAGGACAGCATCGACCACTGCCTGATCTGCCGCACCACTCTCACCATGAATGCAGATGCGACGCGACTTGTTCCTCTCTTCAAAGCGTTGTAGCCACCCATTGGAATATTTGCTTGCATTGTTGCGCAAGCCAAGTCGGCCAGCAAAGACGTTTGTCTTAGTTTTGATGAGATCTCAAGTGATGGCTACATGCATTGTCTGGCATTGAAGCACCCATGTTGCCAAGGCTTCATCAAGCTGCGGGTGATGTGTAACGCGAGGCCATTTTGCCGAAATCTCAACATTTAGCATGGCCTCGAGATCACGACTCTTTTTGAGGATGCTGCGAATAGCAGATTGAGTGATTCCAACGCCAAACTTCTGATTAGCCCATGTCGCAAGCGAACTTTTACTCATCAACTGATTTTTGGCCTTTTGATTGCAGACCTCGAGCCTCTGCGCATTTGATAAAAGTGCTGGTGGTATATTTTTGTAAATGTAATTTCGCAATGCGGTTCACCTCTTATTCACGAAAAACTTGGGTAACAATATTTCATATATATATATATATATATATATAT